GTGGCTAGCAGACGCATGACAGTAGGGTGCTTAGCACGAAACCGGTCAGACTCAGGGTCTGGAACGTCAGGCAACGAAGACGCAGGAGGGGCCAGCAGAGGAACACGTCGTGGAACAGAGGAAGGACGAAGTGCCATAATGTGCGTGCCAGGGACAGGAGGTTGACGCTCACGACTGACACGACCAATGTGACCATGCGACCAGTGGGACCAGTACGAACAGGCGAGACAGGACGGGACGCAGGCTCGCGACGCTCAGCAGGGCCTCCTGTCTGCTTAGTGTAAGGAGAGGGAGCAGGCAGGGGGGAGCCTGGCTGTAACGGTAGGCCAGTGGAAGACGGCAGGGTAAGAACCTGGCAAAGCACTGTATCAGGAGGCGGCAGAGACGACGGCGACGACGGAGAGAAGAACAGCCGCTGCGTAGTAGTGTCACCAGCACCAGCAACTCCAGTGCCTCCTGTAGCACCAGAACCTCCAGCAGCCCCAGACCCGCCAGCTCCAGCTCCTCGAGCGCCAGCACCACTAGTAGTCGCAGAACCTCCAGCGCCAGCACCTCCAGCACTAGTGTCACCAGCAGCAGCACCCCCAGAACCGGCGGCCCCAGTCCTAAAGCTCCCAGCAGCAGCACCCCCAGTCGCAGCAACTCCAGCCCCAGCAGCTCTAGTACCTCCCATACGAGCACCTCCGGGTCGAGCGGCTCCAGAACCCCCTGAAGACAAAGTACCCGCAGTACCCCCAGCGCCAGCGTCAGCAGCAGTGCCTCCAGAGACAGAGCCCCTAGCTCCAGCAGCGCGACCCTGACGGCGAGCGTACCACTCGTGCAGCTGCTGTGGGGAGAGAGGCGCACGCGGACGAAGGCGGCCACTCCAAGGAGACCGCGGACACGCAGGCTCAGTACTCTCAGGCGCCGCACCCCCAGACGCAGTACCTCCAGGCTCAGCACCTCCAGACTCAGCACCCCCAGGCTCAGCACCTCCAGACTCAGCACCCCCAGGCTCCTCACGCTCAGGCTCAGCACCCCCAGACTCAACACCCTCAGGCGTAGTACCTCCAGGCTCCTCTCGCGCAGTCTCAGCACCCCCAGGCTCAGTACCCGTAGGCTGAGAACCCCTAGGCTCCGCACGCTCAGGCTCAGCACCCCCAGACGCAGCACCCCCAGGCTCAGCACCCCCAGACGCAGCACCCCCAGACGCAGGCTCCTCACGCCCAGGCTCCGCACCGCCAGACCCAGCACCCCAAGGCTCAGCACCCCGAGCAGGGCCACCCCCAGCAGGACCTGAGTCACCAGTGACCTCAACAGGCTCACGCATAGGAGGGTCTACCTGAGAAACACCTGAAGGAGCAGGACCTGGCACGGGGAGGGGGTCTACCTGGGGAGGACCTGGAGCGAGAAAGAGCGGAGGGGGGGGGCGAGCGGCAGTGCGGTAGGGAAAGAGACGGTAGAAGGGGACCGTTTCGTCGAAGGTGACGTCCTGAGACGCAAAGACACGGCGCGAGGTGGGGTCGTAGAACTGCCAGCCAGGCGCGTCAGGAGGAAAACCAAGGAAGACGCAGGGAATGGCGCGAGCGGAGAGCTTGTCCGCGGTGGTATCGCGGACAAAGGCACGAGCACCCCAGACCCGAAAGCGCGACGCATCGCCAACCTCCCCCGTCCACAGCAGTGTGGGCGAGGTCTCCGGCAAGGAGACACGGGGCAAGAGGTTGAGCTGATGCGCGGCGTACCGGACCGCAAACGGCCACAGAAAATGGGGGGCAGCCGCATGGATCATGGAGGTACGAGCGGCCTCCATGACTAAGCCAATGCGGCGCTCAGCAACCCCATTCTGCTGCGGAGAGGCCGGAAGCGTGAACGACTGGCGGATGCCGTGCTCCTCACAGAAAGCTCGCAAGAGGTCGGAGGAAAACTCACCACCTCTGTCAGAGTGCAGACGCAGGACAGGAAAGTCCGACTGGAACCGCTCGCGGAGCTGGAGACGCACAGCGCGGATCCAAGGGATCAAAACAGCAGGGACCTCCCCCTTGCTGCGCAAGGGGAAGACCGTGGTGTAACGCGAGTAACCAGAAGAAATTACCGCTCGCGGCCCTCTCTCTAGACGCGGGCTGGGCTCCACACGTCCAGGTGGAGGGTCTGTAGGGGAGCAGTCGTCGAGGGAAACGAGGAGGAGTGAGGAGCGGCGCGCTGCCGCCCCTTGACGCAAGGAACACAGAGCGGGGCAAGGTAGAGACACGAGGGTGGGAGGGAAGGTAGAGACCTGGGAAGACCAGAGACAAGGAGGCGGGAGTGCATGCCACAAAGGTGTGGCAGGGAGGGGTGACCAAGGTGGTGGTGCCAAAGGAGGGTCTGGTGCGACAGGTGACGACACTCGCAGGGGGAAGCTACGTGACCCGACGCGGCCACCTGACCAGACGCAGCAACTTGAGGGGGCTCAGTAGTCAGTGTGTACAGACTAGACCCAAGCCGACGAGTGAACGTGGCCAGCTGACGGCCAGTCCTGGAGCACGTACAGATCGCCACACGCGGTCGTCCAGAGGTAAAGGTATCAACCCCCGCATCGTGAAGGACAGCGGTGCTCACCAATTTCGTCGAGAACGAGGGGAGGTGGAGACCTGACAGTGAGCCGGACGGAACCGCCGGACACGGGAGCACAGTGGAGGAACGTGCAAGCACTGGACCCCTCGAGGGGTCAGCCAGGGAGACCACAACCGGTCTAAGGAGTGGTGTGAGCGCGGTACTGTCACGAAAAAAACAGTGTGAGGCACCTGAGTCAAGCGTGAAGGTGTGCAAGGCCTCAGCAGGCGCAATACCAGAGAGAGCAGACTCACCAGCACCTAGAGCAGCAGCCTCTATACCTGGGTCGGGCGGCACACACAAGTAACAGTCACCCTCAGCACTAACAGACAACGCATACATGGCATTAATGATAGCATCATAGTCAAGAGCAAAGATATCAACTCCAAACCTATGCAGCTCCGCCCAACGGGGCATCTCAGCCTCCTCGCCAAACTCAGTGCGCCAAGCGTCGTCAAGGCGGGAGAAGCAGCGGTACTGGGTGTGGAACTTCCCGCATGTCTGACCAGCACGCGCACCCATGCGAATGACGTAAGGGCAGCGACCACTACACCAGTCGCACTACGCTGAGCAAACCACTCACGAAGCTGCTGGGGCGTGAGCTGCTCACGCGGACGCTGCTGCTGCTGCTGCTGCTGGCGCTGACCTGCTTCAGCCCGACCACCACCACTGCCACCGCTGCCACCACCTCCACTACTCCCTTCGCCACCACTACCACCCCCGCCGCCGCCGCCACCACTCCCACTGCAGCCCCGACCACCACCACTACCACCCCCGCCGCTGCCGCCAACTCCACCACCGCCCCCACTCCCACCACCACCCCCGCCGCCACTGCCATGACCGCCACCTCTACCGCCTCCACCGCCTCCACCACCACCCCCCTCGCCGCCACCTCCACCTCTCTTGCCTCCCTTGCCCGCTGCGGCGCTTTGCACTAGGAGCAGAAGCGGCACCGACCTCCTTAGCATCGATGAAGTCGACTGCAGCAGCAGAAGCAACAGAGGGGGCAAGGGGGGAGGGGGAGCACCCCTCAAAGAAGGGCGTGCAAGGAGCGCCACGAGTAGCACCTACAGCGACAGCACTAGCCTCAGCTGCAAGAAGTTGCTTCTCGAGCAGGTAGATGGTGAGCTCTGTGGTGTGAAGAGCGAGAAAGTGGTCCCTAACTGTGGAAAGTGAGTCAGGGAGGCGAGTGACAATGAAATAGAGAGTGATGTAAATCGGGGGCTCGTTCTTGGGGAGGAACTCGTCTGGGAGGGCAGCACGGTAGCGAGCATCAACAGCGCGTAGGTGGGTAATGAGGTCCTCTACAGTGGCAAAGGAGGACAGCTCGGGAAACAGGAAGGGCAAGATAAGGCGTCTGAAAGCTGCTGTGGCAGGGGAGGAATTGCGAGCGACTAAAACGTAGAACAGGGCTTTAGCGATCTTATGCTGGCCAAAGTGAGCGCGTTCGGTCGTCGGTAGGTGGTTGCGAACGGCTAGGCGAGCGGCAGCGTCACGAGAAAGCCACTGTGAGCGAGTCGCACTGTCAGCAGTGCCAGGAGGGGCAGTAGAGGCTCCAGACGTGTGATCTAAGAGGGAAACACCGTCCTTAATATCGCTCAGCAGGTACAGCTGTAAATCATCAAGCCAGGTTTCAAACTGAATCGGACGGCCGTCAGGGTCGAACTCGAGAACAGCGAGGGAAGCCATAGCGAGCAGTACAGGGCTGAGCGTAAGGCAAGAATGAGGCGGCACACAGCTGGCAGGGCGGCGCGCGGCAAGGAAGAGGCAGCGCGAGGGCTGCGGAGGCTGCGCGCGGGCTGCAAGGGCGGCGCGCGGGGCAGGGCAAAGGCAGCGCAAGGGCTGCAGAGGCCGGGCGCGGGCTGCAAGGGCGGCGCGCGGGGCAGGGCAAGGGCAGCGCGAGGCCTGCGAAGGCTGCGCGTGGGGCAGCAAGGGCGGTGCGCAGGCAGCTGGGGCAAGCGCGGGGCCGCAAGCGGCAGCGCGCAGGCTGCAGGGGCCGTACGCGGGGCAGTAGGAGGAGCGCGCGGGCTGCTGGGGCGGCACGTGGGGCTGCAAAGGGGCGCGCGCTGGCGGCAAAGGCAGCGCACGGGGCAGCAGGGGCGGCGCGCGGGCTGCAGACAGGAGACGCGCGGGCTGCAGGGGTGGCGCGCGGGACTGCAAGGGCGGTGCGCTAGCTGCAGAGGCGGCGTGCGCGGGCGGTACAAGGCAGGGCAGGGCGTGGGGTAGCGCGGTAACCGGTGGGCCGGAAAAAAAAAAAATAAAAAAATCGGTCCTACGCACCTACTGCTCTGAAACCACGTTTAAAATATTAGGCAAGAATGGATGAACTAGGATGAGTTGGGATACAATTAGAAACCCTAGAATGTGTTTTACCCCATGTAAGCTACCCCACTACAGCCTACAACCAACCACGAGCATTATAGTTTGACAGATCAATCAGTTAGGGCCCACATATCAGGGTAACTGCTAGCAGGGCTTTTTGTAGTCTGTTTATTATTATTATTATTATTATTATTATTATTATTATTATTATTATTATTATTATTATCATTATTATCATTATTATCATTATTATTATTATTATTATTATTATTATTATTATTATTCAGTTTCTTGATCAAGGCAGACTAACCGTATGGTTATCCTTTCTTCAAGATAATGTTTTTTTTTACCCTTTCAAAAACAGTGTAGGAATGTAACATATGAGTCACACAGTACCGATTCGGAGAAACACGTATACCTTCGTGTCAAACTAAGAACGTACAGGTTTAGGAGAGCCTAGGCTTAGGAGCCTAGGCCCAAGGGAGTAGTGAGGGTTGTGGCCAAGGATCAGGAGAAATGGGGGGGTCTTGAGTATAGCACATACGGTACAAATAGCAAAGCAACAACGATGGAGGTGCACCACCTACAGAAGAACTACACACTATGGTTACAGTACAGGCAGATATATGTAATAGATATAAATCTATTTAACACACCCCCTATCTGTCTGAAGTGAACAACTATGTGCAGAGCTTCCCATCTCAAGGGGTACACCTAGAAAACCCCTCACTGGGCGGGGGAACGCCAGCAAGGGGCCTCCTCTCAAGCTGACGAGCAGCAGACACCGAGCCGCAGCTGGGACCACCGCCTGTCAGAATGTGATGGTTGTCTAGCCTACAGTGGGGTACTCTATAGCGAGTACAGCCCTTCTAGGGTTTGCTATATGTATCCCTATGCTTGTTAGTGAAAACCCTTCTTGCCTGATTCTGATTCTTGCCTAGTATTTCGACACCGCCGGGTACGGTGGGATGCTCGCCTGCGGTTTAACCCCCGCAGTGGATGCTCGGAGCGCGCGTCGAAGGGGAGAGGAGTCGAAACGAAGCGACACGTAACGAAACGAAAGTAAGACACCGAATCAGACACGGCAGACAAGGCAGCAGCTACACGAGGCATGCCACGGGCAAAGCACATGTAGGATCACGGTCCGAATCACAGAACAAACACGGGCATAATCACAAGCAGTACACGGGCAAAACGTCGGACAAAATGACGAGAAGAATCACGGGAAGAATTACGAGCAGTACATGGGCAGAATCAAGGATGACAACATGTGCGACACGGGAAGCACGGGAGAATGCACGGCACGAACGGACAAGGGCAGCAACGGGAGGCACGAACAAATACGAACGAACGAACAGGTACGGGCAGAGACGGGCAGCACAAGACGTACGGACACGAGAGGTCACCGGTCGGCACAAGGCTGGGGATGACAGGAGGAGGAGGCGGCTGATGCTGCAGCTAGACTCACTCACTCCCTCAACCTCCCCCCCATAGCTGCAGCAGCGGGAGTGAGAGAGAGCAGATGGAGGCGTAAGTAGCTGCAGCTGGATCAACACCACCCACATCCCCACAACCTCCCCCCCACATCTGCAGCAGCGGCAGAGAGAGAGAGGGTTGGTGTGCGCATGTGCAACTCGTGCGGCTGCTGCTGCGCGTGCAGCTGCGCGCGTGCGGCTGCGCGCGTGCGCAGCTGTATGCGGATGCGCGCATGGCGGCTGTAGTGCGCGCGGCAGTGTGCTGTGCGCGCAAGCGCTGCTGCGCATGTGCGGTTGTGCGCGCGGCTGCTGGAGTGCGGCTGTAGTGCGCGCGGCGGTTTGCTGTGCGCACAAGCGCTGCTGCGCATGTGCGGCTGCGCCCGCGGCTGTTGGAGCGCGGCTGCGTGCGCACGGCTGTGCAGGCTGCGGGGTCGACGGGAGGGCGGGTGACGGGAAGCGGGCAGCGGGGCGACGGAACCGCGGGCGACGGGGCAGGCGATGCGCGTGACGAGAGGCCGAACCAGGGCCGCATATGGCGCCATCACGCAGCTCGTCCTCACATGCAGCAGCGTGATGGATGGAAGATGCGCGATGGGCAGCATGACGTAGGGCAAGACGGGGAACGCCATGGACGAAAACGAGAAGGGCGGTCCTTAGGAAGGAACCTGCTCCAATACCATGTCAAACTAAGAACGTACAGGTTTAGGAGAGCCTAGGCTTAGGAGCCTAGGCCCAAGGGAGTAGTGGGGGTGGTGGCCAAGGATCAGGAGAAATGGGGGGTCTTGTCTATAGCACAGACGGTACATATAGCAAAGCAACAACGATGGAGGTGCACTACCTACAGAAGAACTACACATTATGGTTACACTATAGGCAGATCTATGTAATATATATAAATCTACTTAACACTTCGTGACGATCCGCCTACATGAAGGTTTGAACCTGCGATCTTTCTGTTTGGAGGAAGTGTCAAGATAAGCTGTTAGGCTAGGGAGCCATAGCTAGGGTTCTAGAGGAGGAGCTTGAGCTAGGAAGTCGAGAGAATTGGGCAAAGAGGAAGTTCACTAAGACAGGAGTTACAAAATATAGCAAACCAAATGGTGCACCACCACACAGGCCAGTTATATAAGCGCGCGGAGTTCACCAGAAGCATGCGCCCACAGGGACTCGTTCGCCTCTACCTGACTCTCTAGGAGACACTGCGCACGCTGGAGCCAGACAGAGAACTCGAGGGGCCTACCCTCGGCATCAAGGCGAAGGACCCTAGGGGTCGCCATAGCGGAAGCGGAAGCGACTAGGCGGGCTGGGCGCAGCGGGCGCGATGGGCACGACAGCTAGGGTAGATCACGGCAGGCGAGACAAGCACGGAAGACACAGTGAGCACGACAGGCACAGGCGGGCGTGGGGTATACAGCGGGCGTCGCGAGCGCGGCCGCAAGCACGGTGGCGTGCGCGGCTGCAGGCTCGGGGGCAGGCGCGGCAGTAAGCGCGGCGGCAGGCGCGGCGGCAAGCATCGCGTGCGGGTGCAGCTGCAGGTGCGGCGGCAGGCGCGGCACTCGGGCGCAAAGGCAGGCGCGGGGCGCGGGCGCGGCAACAGGCGTGGCAAGCAGACGTGCGGGCGGGCGCAGGGTAGGCGCTCGGGCGAGCGCATAGGTCAGGCGCCCGGGCGGGCGGGTAGGGCAGGCGCCGTGAGCGCGTAAGGTAGGCCCACAGGCGGGCGCGTAGAGCAGGTGCGGCTGGCGCTTAGGGCAGGCCCGCTGGCGGGCGCTCAGGGCAGGCGTGGCGGTCGCTAAGGGCAGGCGCGCGAGCGGGCACGTAGGGCAAGCGCAGCGGGCGCGTAGGGCAGGCGCGCGATGGGACGGGGGACGGGATGGGACGGGCGCGACATCGGGCAGAACGCGCTGTGGCAAGCGCGACTGCAGGCGCGCGGCGGACGGGCGTACAAAAGGGCGCTACTGCAGTGCTACGAGATAGGACGGGTAAGGCGCGTCAGGCTCGGGAGGCTCGGGTAGTAAGAACGGGATCTTAGAGGATCCTAACCTAGGTGATACCATGTCAGAACCTGAATTGTTGTTGCATTGATGTGGGTTGGGGTACATATACCTAACCCTAAGACAAGCCTCACCACAGGCTACAACATTTGACATTTCTTTCCTCCCTCCATTTTCACCCTCAAACATGTACGACAAGCCTGCCAGCCCATCGGTCAAACGTGAAACATCTCACATGTCTGCAAGGCGCAGCATGCTGTGAGCCATACGTTGGCAACAAATCTTGCCAACGCTGCCTGCTGCGCAAGCCCGATTGGTCAGAATGAATACAACTTTGCTATACCAGCACGACTGTGTAGTGCCGTGTGGGTGGATTCGATTTCCCGCCCGTAATTGACGGTGTTAGTAGTCATACACTTCGCCAAGCTGGCGGAAATCCTTGTAATGCCGGTTTCAGTGTGCATCCCCTATAATAGGCTAAATGCACAGCCTAGACTCCTACAAAAACGCTGAAAAAACAGCTAAAAAAAAAAAAAAAAAAAAAAAAACACTGGAAAATCAGCCAAGGTACAAAACAAAAATCTTTCGATTTAGCCTCCCCCCCCCAAAAGAAAGCCAGATCCAACGCCGAATCAACGTAAAAAGACTGATATTTAGGGCTCTGCTTTAGGGCATTCTGTGATCATCTCAGAATATGGATGGTTAGCTACAATGAGTCACCCTAGGGTATAGCTAAAAATACAAGGAAAACGCAAGAAAAAGCTACATAATGCCAAGGTGGATATATATGGCATATTTTAGTGTCAAACTTATGCACTATAGTCTGTGTAGGCTGTAGTGGGGTAGCTTATATGGGGTACAACATTCTAGGGTTTGGTACTTGTACTCCTCATGCTGCTCAATGCAATCATTCCTCGTTCTTATTTTTCACATGGTTTCAGAGCAGGTTCCCTAGTGGGAACTTTTCCTAGGGCCCACCCATATCGAACATTTTTTTTCTGCCCGGGGCGCGAGTCGCCCCTGCTCGAGACGCGATCGGTGAGCCGCCCTTAGCGGCCCCGTCGCCACCCTTAGCGGCCCCGTCGCCACCCTTACGCGACCCCGGCGCCGCCCGTCGCGGCCCCGACGCCGCCCTCTGCGGCCCCGTCGCCCCTCGCGGCCCCGTCGCCGCCCTCGCGGCCCCTGTCGCCGCCCTTCCGCGGCCCCGTCGCCGCCTCTTACGGCCCAATCGCCGACTCCCCTTCGCGGCCCCGTCGCCGCCCCTTGCGGCCCCGTCGCCGCACCCCCTTCGCGGCCCCGTCGCCGTCCCTTGCGGCCCCGTCGCCGCCCCCCTTCCGGCCTCGTCGCCGCCTCCTACGGCCCCGTCGCCGCTCTTTGCGGCCCCGTCGCCGCCCCTTTCGGCCCCGTCGCCGCCCCTTGCGGCCACGCCGCCGCCTGTCCGCGGCCCTGCCGCCCTTCGCGACCCCGACGCCGCCCTACCACCGAGCCGCCGAGTCGCTGAGCCGCCGAGCCGCCGAGTCGCCGAGCCGCCGTTGTCGCCGAGCCGCCGAGCCGCCGTTGCCGCCGAGCCGCTGAGCCGCCGAGCACCCGAGCCGCAGAGCCGCCGAGCCGCCGAGTCGCCATTGTCGCCGAGCCGCCGAGCTGCCGAGCCGCAGTTGCCGCCGAGCCGCCATTGCCGGCCAGCCTTGGTCTCTCTCGCCTGCCCGGTAAGAGCAGCGCCTCTGTCACTGCACTGCCCTTAGCCTACTGCTCACACTGCTGTCATGGCCACCCCCAGTGTTCTCACCTTTGACGCTGAGGGTCGGGCTGTTGACTTTGAGGTCTGGGTAGATGATCTGCAGCTCTTCCTACAGTGCGATAGGGCAGACGGTCTCTCCCTCTTTGACCTCACTTCTGGTGCCTCTCCTGCCCCTGCTGCTGATGCTGACCCCACTGTTCGCTCACAGTGGGCCACGCGCGATGCTGCTGCCCGCCTTGCTGTGCGCCGCCACTTGCCGACCGCTGAGCGTGCGCACTTTAGCCAGTACAAGAGTGCTAAGACCTTGTACGACGCTGTAGTTGCACGCTACTCTTCCCCTGCCACTGCTGCACTTAGCCGCCTCATCCTACCGTACCTCTTCCCTGACCTCGCCGCTTTTCCCACTGTCGCTGACCTCATTACGCACCTTCGCACTAGTGACACTCGCTACCGCGCTGCGCTTCCTGCTGAGTTCTGCGCCAAGAACCCCCCCCCCCCCATGTACATCACCCTCTACTACATAGTCACCCGGCTCCCTGACACCCTTCGCCCGGTTAGGGACCACTTCCTCTCTGTTTGCCCCACCACCCTCACCGTTGACCTCCTCGAGGAGCGCCTTCTAGCGGCAGAGAAGAGCATAGTCGCTGTAGGAGCCTCTCGTGGTGACCCTCGTGCCCCTGTCTTTGAGGGGTGCTCCCCCTCTCCCCTCCTGCCCTCTGTTGCCTCTGCTGCTGCGGCCGACCTCGTTGGTCTTGAGTCGGTCGCTGCGGCGTCTGCCCCTAGCGGGAGACGCCGCCCTGGCAAGGGCAAGGGGGGCAAGGGTGCTGGAGGAGCTGGCGGGGGCGGTGGAGGCGGAGGTGGAGGTGGTGGAGGGGGTGGGGGTGGCGGTGGGGGTGGTGGCGGGGGTGGGGGCGTCGGTGGCGGGACTGGAGGTGGAGGTGGAGGCGGCGGTGGCGGTGGGAGCGGAGGTGGCGGAGGTGGCGGTACTGGAGGAGGTAGCGGCGGAGGCGGTGGAGCTGGTCGGGGTGGCGCTGCGTACAAAGAGGGTTGGCTCTGGTGGTGGTACGCGCCAGCAGCAGCAGCAGCAGCAGCAGCGTACTCGTGAGACCCCTTCCCCCCAGCAGCTTCGTGAGTGGTACGCTGCTCGTCAGCGGGGCGGGGGTGCTGGCCCCTGCACCTACGTTCTCCGTACCGGCGACCGGGCGGGTGAGCAGTGTGGGGGCGCGCACTCCACCCAGCGCTGCTTCGGCCGTCTGACGGACGCGTGGCGCCACCAGTTCCCTGACGCTACTGAGATCCCTCGCTGGGGCGAGCTGTCTAGGGCAGGCGTTGCGATCTATGATCTTGATTTTGATGCTATTCTTGCTGCCATGTATGCTGTGACTATTAGTGATGAGGGTGACTGTTACCGGTGTTTTCCGCCTGACCCAGGCATAGAGGCTGCTGCGCTAGGTGCTTGTGAGGCTGCTGCTCCAGGTGCCAGTGCGTCTGCCGCCCCAGGTGCCGGTGAGTCTGCGCTCTCAGGTACTGCGTCGTCTCCGGACACCCACACCTTCACCCTTGACTCGGGTGCTTCCCGCTCCTTCTTTCGTGACTGCACCACACTCACGCCGCTTAGTCGGCCCGTTGCAGTCTCCCT